TTCCCCTGTCTTCTAAACCAAGACAGTTGTACACAAGAAATGTAAATTAAAAAACAAAACAATCCCTGGTTTACCTTCCATAAGAATGCATTATGCCTGGTGGGAAGTAGGCTGTGTAACAACCCCCTGAATATTGCTCCATGTTCCAATTCTTTTCTTCATAATGCACAGGCTGTAAGTATTAGCAAACATTAGAGAGTGAAATAGTGCGAGAGAAACTTGAAATAACAGATTTCCCTTGAAGAGGGAAAAAAAAACAGACTAAGAAGTGCCATTTCATCTGGCTAATGCTAACCATCCGCACAAAACAAATCTTTGCACTTTCACAGAAGCACTAGCCTCCCGTGGAGAAATGACAGGACTAATAATACCATGCACTGCCTTCTCTGTTCTTGTAAAGAGTGAGACTGGCAGCTCTTTTCTTCCTCTGCTAGATGCTGCTGCCCTCCCCTTCAGAGTACAGATTATATGGTACAACATGCAATTTTAGGTACACATTTTAGGTACCAGGAATTTTTGCTTCATCCTCTAGAACAAAGGAGCAACATTACTGTACAAGGGAGGTGAAAACAGGCATTCATTTCTTACATGTAAAGCCTCTTCCATCCCCGTTGCCTTGGCATATGCCTCACAGATCTTCCTCTTCCTACATGAAAATAAAATCAGAGTCAGAAAAAAAAGGTGGGAAAAAACCTCTCAGCTGTTGCTCTTATAAAAAAACCCCACATTTACTGCAATATATTGGAAAGCAAGTTGTGTTTGGCTTGTTTTTAAGTCTGATTTCAAGTTCTTAAGATACATATTTCAAATGCTGATGTCTAAATGTGACGTCCAAAATGGACCCAGGGAATTGGAAACCAAGGTTGATTTTGGCAATGAGCCTTGAAAAAAAAATATCTTTGTACAGTTATTTTAGGATGCAAGCTGACCAGTTAGCTCAGTGGTTTGAGCGCGGTGCTGACAACAAGGACCAACACCGAGGTTGCGGGTTCGATTCCCGCTCGGTCCCCATGTGTTGCCTGGTCTAGTTGAAAGGCGGCGTCCCTGCCCACAACAGGGAGGTTGGACTAGATGATCTCTAAAGTCCCTTCCATCCTAGGCCATTCTACGATTCTATGATTCTATGATTCTCATGTCCATTGGTGTAAGACCAGAAGAAAAGCAATATACATCAACGAAATCCCTACAAATTTACCATAGATGAGAACAAAACATCAGCTGGAGAATACTGCTACGCTACCTAAGCAGAACTCTTCTTTCACTTGCATGTGTACCAAAAATCACATGTAGAAACTACTGTTTGTTCATTTCACAGTCTAATGGAGAAACCCTACTGTTGGTTTCAAAATATTATCACCCAATCTGAACATGAAGGACACCCAATACTATCAACTCCCCAAATCCCTGGGGTGAAGCATCATTCAGTGGTGATGCTGTCTGAGAATGTCTTCAGAAAAATCTTTTTGGTTCACAGAGACACAGAGTTGATAAGTCATAACATGGAAGAGTGGGCAGGACTTGGAAACTCAGAAATATCCGTAATTGGATAATTATTAGCATTAGTGTCTTGGTCTGTTCATGCTAAGAGCTCAAATTTTGCCCCAATTTCCTATATTGGTAGTTGCACTGAGCACATGTATATGTGCATATGCACACACACATACCCACACACATATTCCCGTGGGGAAGCATCCCAGAGTAATAGCTTATTGCTGAAATACTTACAATTTCTGAACTCTTACCTCTCGTCCTTACTGAGATGGACTAATTTAACAGCCTTTCTGGTAAGGATGAAACTGAAAAGAAAAAAAATTGGCATATAAGTATCACACAGGGCGGCACCCCAGCTGATTCACAAGCTCTTGCTTGACATGACTCTTTTTATAAAAAGATGGGCAAATCACTTTACCACTATATAATGGGCTCGACATTTTTTCATTGTACCTCATCACTTAATAATTTACAGGTCACACAGGTGAAAAGGCCTGTGTGGAGTACCCTGGGGAGTTAATTGAAAGGGAGAGCGTGCATTCCCAGGGGGCAGGAGCAGGGAACTGTCTGGCAGCTTCCAGATGAGGAAGTTGCAGATTGAAAGTGTGTTTCCAAAGCTGCCAGCACTGACCTCATTTTGCTCTGTGGGAATGAGCTCTTCATCCCCACAGGAGAGCGAAGTTATACCCAACGTGGCAGAGAGATGACAGTGTCCAGCAAATTAGCCTGCACTATCTACCCTCTTATCCAACAGGACTGAGACCAGTCCTGTGAGAACTGGGATTAACATTTACTCAGCTTGAAGGAAACTGATTTGGTGAGTAGTTCATCTGACCTTAGTGGAGATACTCACGGGAAGAAGTATGTTCTGGCACTCTTTTAGAAAGTTGCATAAACCCACTAGGAGAAATCAGGAAACTTTGCCATATGGGGTTTAGAGCAGGTTTATTGCTCTCACATCATGGAATTTTTTAAGCCTTGAACATGCCCATAAACATGTACAGTTCAGTAGAAGTATGAAGCTTTCCTTGTCAGATACTTTAGAACTAGTTGCCTGATGTTTATATTGGCCTTTTTTTTTGTCAGTATAGCCTCAGATTACAGTGGAAACATTTATAAAGACTGTTCATATTGGCTTAACCTATTTTAAAAGCCAGTCAATGCTGTTACACATTCTCCAGTCTCTTTGTCCAAACGACAAGTTTTTTTCACTTGGCAGTTTCTTCAGAATCCTGATGCATTCACTGTATGGCTTCTTGCCCTGCTCAGCCACCAGCTGATGTTCTTTGTCCTGCCTCAGGGAGAGGAGGCAAATGAGAATTTCCTGGATAACTGCATTTTCATCAAGGTCCAGGCACTAAGTAGATAGCCCAACATAAGCTGAATACAGGCTCATAAAACTAGCTAAGAAAGAGATTTATTTCTAAGTCTACTCTTCAGCAAAAAAAACCCCCCACATTAACTGAATTCTTGAAATGAACTACAGCTGAATTCAGCAACTCCTTCTCAACCACCTCCTTTGTATCAGGCTATTTGTAGCACAAGCTTCAACTAAAAGCTTATACGGAGTAGAGAGGCTTGTCAGAAGTGCTGTCCTCCATCTATGAAGACTGTGGGAGTGGGCACCACTGATATAACCCAGCCATTTCCCCTTTTCTCCTCCTTCCACTGCTTCATACAAAAAGAAATACACATCTGTAAGTACGGACTAGAAGCTCTTACCCCATAATGGCAGGGAAACTTCCATCTGGTTTTGTATCATCTATGGTTATTCCAATTGGAGACTCTTCATCCTCAATGATGAAGGAACCACAATAACCTAAGGGCGGAGAAGAAAACAAAATGATTGTCAGAGAAACTTGTTGACGATCATTGTTTCCACAGTGACAAGCAAGGAAAATTATCCATAAAAGGAATTGTACAGTAATCCCTTCATCACCAATAATACCTACACGTCTGAAGTGTTTTTATAAGTCTTTCTGCTCTCTTCCCTCTGACTCTGGGAAATTTTATTCACAGACTAATAAAAGTCATATTTAAATTCCTTTATTACTTAGCAAAGGAATTTCTGTGGTTTATTGCAAGTCCCTTTGGCTTTCTATTTTGGGGGCAATATATATTAATAATAAATGGATCTAGCAAGAACTATGATGGCTCATTTCATGAGTAACTGTGGCCAAACCAACAACAGCAGCAACAAAAAGCAGTGTAATTACACCTGGGGGCTATAGGTTCAAATTTACACCCTTTATTGATTTTGCTAATTATAAGACTGTCAGGAACGGTGTCCTGTAACAGTAACGCAGAAGAAATGTGGGCTGCCTAATTTACTAATACGAGTAGTACCCATTGCAGATTAACACGCAAAAAATCCCACATAAGTAACAATGTAGAAACTTGTCCACATTTCTCTCTAATCCCATCGGCTGATTTATGCCCTGAAACATAGAAAATTATATTCTTTTGATTAAGAAATCATAGAATGGTGTAAACTGGAAGGGACCTTAGAGATCATTTTAATCCAGCGTCCCTGCCGCCAGGGACGGCACCTCTCGACTAGATCAGGCAACACATAGGGACCGAACAGGAATCGAACCCGCAACCTTAGTGCTGTTAGCGCTATGCTCACCTGACTGAGCTAACTGGCCCCTAAAATATTCCTGCCCAGTGCAACTCTCAATATTGTTACACAGGAAGTGGCAACTAATTTGTTCGTACAAATAGTCGTGGAAATGGTATCAGTTTAGGCTGAGAAACACATGATGCTGCAGCACATGGAAAAACTATCTTGATTTAAAAAGATAACCTACTTTCGTCCAGTCTTCTGAGATATCAAGTCTGTAGAACAGAAGATGAAAAGCAGGGTAGGGTCTTGCTTACACCTTAAACTCTCCTTGTCATCTGCAGTATATTCTCTTTGCCTGCCCTTAACTCTGTCCCTGGCAGGGAGAGACAGGGACCGGCTGCTGCAGGTTCACTGCTTCTGTGCGTTACAGGTTTCAGCAGTGCTTCCCACGCAAACCTTGCTTGTTGTCTCCAGCGTCCCTCCTCAGCTAACAACAATGAGATTCGGGATCCTATTTGGGTCTGGACTCATCTTTGGGACAAAGTGTGCACTCAGGCTTGGAGGAAGAGCTCTTCTTTCTAAGAAGCTTTTACCTCTCACTTTTCTGTGTGTTTGGTTTTGGGGTTTTGCACATTTAACTCCCCTTGGATTTATTCCCTGATAGACAGCAGAGCTTTAAAATTTACATAGCATGGGGCTGCCAAGTCCTTCACTTTCTCCACATACCCTTCCTTTCCCAGAAGGCCTCCTTGTAGTACACCATGGTTTTTATGACACATCCCATAGGCAAACGCTGAATTAACTGGTTTCTCTTTGGTGGCAGTTCTGGTTTGTAATGAATCTTCGTTGTCAGTATTGGAGGGATAGCAATTATCACATACTTGCCCTGAAATGTAAAACACAGTCAGTACAGACAAGGCAGTGCCTCTCACTCAGCTCACCCAAGTAGCACGTTTTAAAAATGTTTATCATGTTTATCAGGTTTTCCCACACAGATATTTCCAGGCGACCAAAATAATTCTGCCATTTCAGAAAAACAGAGCTGAGAAAAACATATTGTTTTGTGGTTAAATGATTCTTGGCAGCTTTTCAGATACTACAGGACCAGAGTTAAAACTTGGCTGGAGACAGTGGAGGAAATGGGACGATAGATCTTATGCAATAGGTAAAACTGCCTTTTTATCATCCTTAGGAAAATACGACCCACATTGGTCCAAATTATAAGCTGTTAAAGAAAATCACTTATGTGCACATTTAACAGGCTACTACTTTAGGACAGGCAACACTGACGGTGATTTCTGCTTCACTAAACACGCTCCATCCTCTCATAAGTCCTGTTTCTGGCTGAAGCAGTGAAGGACGCTCTGCTTCAGGGCTCAGATCACAACAGATGCTGCTGCACTCAGGTGCTCTCATGCTGGTGGGCCCACTGAGTCCAGGAAGCCTGTCTCCTCTGACTTGGCTGTCACTCAGCCAGTGTGGAGGGAAAAGCCAGTGGTTTAACCACAGGGTTTAAAAATCCCTGGGAGGAGGAGAGAGTCCCTCCTCCAGGACACCCTTAGACCAGCTTCTCTGTCAAACATCCCCTTCCCTTTCTGCTAGCTTTCTCTAAATAGCCTCCAAACACTGCCACTGGTGAAACAGAGCTCTTGCAAACTGTGATGGTCCTGCACAGATTCCTGTGGCAGGCTGGGCTCCACGTGCAGAAGGGAGCTGCCATCCCAGAGGTGCCACTGCAGGTAATCACATACTGATGGAACATTTCACAGTTAACACCACACAGAGGCCAAAATCTTACTAAAGGTGTTTGAAATGTCTTTCTTTGTTGTTGTTCTGCACACCACAAACTCAGATATGAACAGGAGCATTGCTTTTCCTTTCTTTGAAATGGTTTCAATGCAGAACTGAAATGTATACATACATAATCACAGAAAAAGTCAGAAAAAGCAAAGCAATGACAGAAACTAGCTAGCAGAACACCAAGAAAAGACCCAGTCATAAATAAATCTGTAAAGCAGGTTTCACGGAGTGTCAGCATAGCCAGAGAATTAGACACACACAAATGGGTACTTCCTGATTACAGCTGGCTAAGAGCTACACCAGATGTATTCCCCCACTAAATGCATACTCTACTTTTATTCTGATCAAATTACCTCATATATCTCATGGTTTAGAGTCTCCACAATGACATTATCACCTGTCTGATCAATACAGACCACAGGTCTCTCCAGTTTAACTCTGCCTTTGAGGCGTTCCATTATTTTCTCTGATATCTGACCAGAACCTCCTTTAAACTTCCTTTCCTAAAAAACAAACAGAAAAGAAATACAAACAAAAAATCACCAGCATTAATCACAATGACATTGAATATGACTTCTGCTCATAATCAAGAAGTTCCAAGCCAAATCTACAAGTCCTAAGGGTACATAAAGAGGCCTAGACTTTCAGAAGAGTGAAGGCATAAACCTGGGCCTCAGTGGGGATTGCTGCCTAAACCACTTTTCCAGTGGCTTCCTCAATTAGCTGGCTCGAAGACTCTTGAAGCCTAGAGAATAAACATACGTAATGCAGGTATTCTAGCTACTATAAACACATCACTTCATTAAAAAGAGGTTTTGACTATGCCACCCATCACTGTGCTACTGAAACTCTCGTATGTGACAAAGACACCAACTTGCAGGTGTGCAGCCAAAGCTTGTGCCAGCCCCGAAGCAAGACATATCTTTAACTGAGTCTGGCCTCGAGTAGAGCAGACAATGAGCTTTATCTGTCCCTGGGAAGACACAAAGGCATTGCTGTTTGGAAAAAAAGCACAATCTGTGACACATACTTCCTTGCAATGCCTGTGCAGAGGCTCAGGGGAAGCACTAACCCTCTTTCATCTACCAGCCACAGGTGTTGTTTCAAGCAGCTCACTTTCCCACATGAGATGCTGGTAGTGGCAGGGAGGAAAGGATCCACAAACTCTTGTGCTGAAAGACTGAAATGGGTGCTTGAAGAAGTTTTATAAGACTCCTCATGGCCACTAAGTCAGAAACTCTCCACACTTCTGCTCAACTGATTCTGACTGGGGTGAGGGGAGAGGGAATGATGGTAGAAACCACGACAGCTTGCCTCACTCAGGCACAAAGAAAAGGAGTGCTCTTTCCAGGTGAGCTTCCCCTCTCCACATCTTGTTTAGTTATGAGTATCGTGGGATTAATTTTCTTTTTAATTCTTGCTGCAATGTCTAGAAGTTGCTGAAGTGGGATGGCAGATGTGGCTGAGGGGCTGCCGAGGAGCAAGGCTCTTAGGTTCTGCTTCTACCTCAGAGCAGCGTTAGCTCTATTTACATTCTTCCTGACACATGGTTGTCTGTTTTTACCCTCATGGACAGATGCTGATGGAGACTTCACATCTCTCCAGGCAACTTCTCTTAACATCTCCCTATCCTGGCACATTTGGAATGGTGTAGCACTGTCTCCACTTTTGCTGTTGGTAGTCTCAAATGCCATGTGTGCTTTCTGAGGCTGTGTTAACATATGTTGTATGTTGACATACAATACTGAAATTACTTTAACAGGCCCCTCTTGCCTTTTCCGAAACTTCTTCCAGAACAATCAAGTGAAAACCATGATGTTTCGCAGGCAGTCAGGCACCTGCCATGAACAAGGCAAGAAACAGTCTAAAGTAACTCACAGAAAATGCTGTCACGTGAGCTGCCCCAAAACGGAGAGGACTTTTGCTATCTATTTCCAATTCCTGTCACCAGAGGCTTCAATGCCAAACCAACTATTTCACTCTGAAGTACACTTGCTTTGAACTCTCAAAAAACTTTAAATGTGGTAAGTAACTCATAGAAAACAAACTGGCAAAAAAAAAAGCAACAAAATGACTGTGATGCAGTGAATGCAGGAAAAAACCCAACTGATTAAAGTGTCCCCATCTATCTCAAAGCCTAGCTAATAAAATTCCTCTTTGTACAGAGCTAGTTGAGAGGGCTGTTCCACACCATGAGAACACCATGGTGTTTCATCCTCTTTTCGTTAATTGCACGGCTTTGAAGAGCACAACATTCCACTTGCTCTTTGCAGTTTCAAGAGAAGAGAAAAAATATGAGACATTTTGTACCTGGCCCCCATTCGTGACAGAGAAAATCCTGTCTGTGCCTCCACACTGCCTCACGTACCACAGGAACCAGAGAGCAGAGACTTCATGAGGCTCAGACGTGACGTTGACGTTCACAAATAAGGTGGCAAATTCTTTAACAGCTCTGCATGAGACATAGCAGCAGAAACAAGCAGTGAGCAAATGTGACTTCCTGACTGCTTTCAGGATTTTCTTTGTTATTCTTAATAAGGGCTACTTTCCCAAAGTCAGAATCTGTCTCATTTTTCAGTCTGTAGAGAGACTGTTTCAACGGGTTTATATCAGCATCTTCCTCCTTCCAAAAGCATTTACCCATTCAGTTTGAAATCCCACTGATTTCACCTTAATTATTTCTTTAAATAGTTTCCTGGCTGCTATTCCTTTTGTCAGAACAAACATTTTTCTCAGCAGGAGAATGCATTTGGTGACCAGTTAGTGAAACTCTTCTGCATTTTTCTCCATGGGGAGCTCATTGGGCACACCACTTTCAATTCCTGATGGGTCCCGAAGGACTCAACTAGCCACATGGCCAAGACATTCCCTGTCTCCCTTGTAACACTGCTGCACAAACCTTTTGTGAAAGAACTAGACATGGTAAAAAAACCAGAAAAACCAAACTGGCAATCATTGCCACAAATATAAGAGGAGAGTGTGCTGTCTACCACAGTAAGTTCTCTGAATGTAAGCAGAGTTACAGCAGCAGGAAATGAGGACCTGGCTATTCACATTTTTTTCATTTGTGGCTACAGATCACTAAGAGAATTGAGATCATCATGCAGAGAAGGTGAAAGGTCTTTGACTTGGATAAGTTTAATAAAACAACACGAACTTATAATAATCTGCTAAAGGAAGGAATTTTCTAAGTTATCTGGGCTAAAGTATGTAACTTACAAACTTTTATAACCTCATTTCCCTGGGTATGAATTACAGCCACCTCTATTTCATTATCCAGGATACGAAAACAACCTGCATGCAAGAACCCCCTGCCACAATCCTGAAAGCGCTAAGGCACCAAAGAGCTGTAGCAGGTTCAGGCCTGAGAAATGTGAAGACTGTCTCCAGGATGCGTGACACATGACAACATGACACATAACAACCAAATCTTCTTTTATAATCTTGACCCAAATCACATAGAAAATGCCGCAGAAGAGCTTTTCTATTTAGGGCACTACGGTTTTTAACTCTGTGTAGAAAAACCTGGATTGGCCTGAAAATCTAAAATGGCTTTTTACTGAGTTTTTCACATGTTTCGGCTGAGCACATCCATCAAAACTCCAGTGCCACACAACCATTGGCAGTAGAAACAGTCTTGCAGAGAATAGTGTTACAGAAGAGACAACTATAAACCCAGTTCTGCTTATACTCTGCCGGCTCCCTGACTAAGAGGAACAATAAAAACTAGAAGCGAAAGAGCCAGTGCCCTTGCAACAGAAAGAGTAGTTCAAAGTAAGCAAGTTTGCAAGCAAATGGCTCATAAAACTAATTGTAAAGAAAACTATAATGTTACAGAGAGCAACAGAAAGTGCAAACAGCTGCATCTTGTTCGCATTTCAAACTGCAAGTTTTGGTCAGGAAACGGCAGGCACAGTGCTAACCCACAGTCAGAATGTAAGGGCAAAGAAATTACAGCCACACAAATAAAAGACACTGAATACAAGGAAGGAGAGAGTTACAGAATAGCCCAGGGGCTGGCACAGCAAGTGGGTACACAAGCGCTCACAGGAGCACACTTCTCTTTGCCTTATAAAAATAATTAATTGAAAAAGGAAAGGAAGAAGAGAGCATTTCCAGTTGTCTTCACATAAAACATTGTTCCTTTTTTTATTCGTACAGTGTGGTCCCTCATAGACATATAACACACACTGGCCGTTTTCTAGGTGATACATCACCTTAGGTCCTCTTCCTACAAACAAAGAAGACCTGTTAGATGATGCAGTGATGACGGGCAGCCTTGGCTGCAGTGGTCGTGTGGCTGTGAAACTTAAGATCCTGAGAGAGGTAAGACAAACAGCAGAATTGCAACCCTGGATTTTGAAAGAGCAGATTTTGTCCTCCTCAAGGACCTATTTGGCAGCATCTCAGGGGAAACTACCCTGTAGGGCAAAGAGGCCCTGGAGAGCTGGGTGGCATTCAAGGACAGCTTCCCAGGAGCAGAGGGAGGGTGCAGTGCAATGGACAGAGCTGAGCAAGCACAGCAATAGGCTTGCTAGGACAAACACAGAGCTCCTGCCCAGGCTCAGGCACAAACAAGCCAGGGAGGTGAAAGGCAACAAGAAAGGTTGCCTCAGCTGCCTTGTTTCCCTCCAAGGGAGGCCCAGCAGGCACTACTGCTGAAACAAGGAGCAGCATTTGAACTTCTCCAGAGTTTCCAGAGCCAACAGCTGCTCACTCCTCCCTCCTCAGGTGTTGCTTTGCCCCATCCATTAAGCAGCCATTGGAAAGCAGCTGCCCCCTTGCACGGCATGCTGCTCTCCAATGTGCCAGTGGCACCTGCCAGCTCTGTGGCACACGCCACGCAGCTCATACAGTAAAAACAGGCACGTAAGATAACTGCACAGGAGAGGCCATAGCCAAGAGTCAGAGGACATCACTCCTCAGCTCCTAGGCCTGTCATGAGGCTGAGGAAGCCCCCTTACCTCCTTCTGCCTCCATTTCTGTGCCTGCAAGTGACCTTTATTCATGCCTACAAGGTGCAGTTTTATTTATGTGTTGCTTTTCTTGAAGACAAAGGCACACACTCTCCAACACAGTGAAGTGAAAGCATGGTGGGAAGAGCCCACGCTGCCACTCCTGTGTGCATGGGCCTGCTGAAGCAAACCCCAGGTTTGGGAAGCTACCCAACACAAGCTCTGCCATACCACCTTATCCTCCACCCATCACCTGATAACAGCCCATCACAAAAAACAACTTCATCCCCAACATGTCCTGCTCTCTCAGCACCTGCACCCTAGCCGCATTCAACTGTACCCCAGAATTTACCAGGGAGCCACTATCATTCTGTAGCTGGATTTCAAAGTGAATGAAGAGTTACATACTTGGTCCAGCAAATCTTATTTATCAGCTCTTTCATGGTCATTTTGTCCCACTCTTCAGCATGTGGAGCGTCCCATGGTGCTTCAGGAGGAATCTGTAGGAGGTGAAATAATCAAGAAATTATTCACTACTATATCATTGCCTGCTCATAGCTAGTTAGTAGCACAGAGCTGATCGATAGGATGGCTAGGAGTTGCTTTTGTGCCCTCCAAATGGAATAAATTCACTAAATGGAATAGTTTCCATTCACACTTTTGGGCATGAAATGTACTATGACCGCCAAATCTGGCTTTGTTTGACCAATGAACTATATATCCTTATGCTGGGACTCATCTGGCCTTTAGTTGTCCAAAAATGAGGTGGCTATTCTAATTTCATTGTCTTGCTGTCCTCTAACGGCTGAAGGTAAAATTCCTTTTCCAGCCAGAGATTCAGTCAGTTTCAAGCTGGGTATCCAAAGGCCTCTATGTCTCCCTGTTAAATACAGAGGGAACAAAAATGTCTAGATACTATTAAATTGTTTTTTAACAGTTAAATTCTTAATAATAATTCATCGCATCTAAGCACTATGACTTGCAAGGACACTACCATATATGTGAGTCTTTAAAAAATATGTATTACTGTACAAAAACTATGTGGTATCATGCACAAATTTGATTCTGCAAAACCACATAAACCCATGAACTTTGCATGAATGCAGTTAGTTATGCTTGAAAATTAGTGTAAGGTAGTTCATAGTCAGATTGTAAGGCAACTGATACTGCATGATACTCTAAGTGCTACTTTTTTTTGCACACAGGAAGATCTGCACTTGCACTGCTTGATTTTTGAAGGTATTTACTGTTTAAGAAATTTATAAATAAATTTTATAAAGAAAATTACTATGAAGCCAAACTGGAACCCAGCCTAGGCAGCTACAAAAAATAATCATCCTTACTAAAAACTCTCCTCATCTCCCAGCTCAAGGAATGGTTTTCCCTGGCATGAGAAAGTACACACACTGAGGTTCAAAATTATTATTTTTTCCAGATATCTTAGACACCTCTAGATCTTTTTGTATCCTCTCACAGAATGATTGAATGGTTTGGGTTGGATGGGACCCTTAAAGGTCATCTAGTTCCAAGCCCCTCTCAGTGAGGAATCCCTGTTATTCCCAACATTTCCTGCACAACATAGGTATCTTTCCTGATGAATGTTTCTCTTTTTTTGTATTAAAGAAGTTTGCCAGAAACAAAACAAAACCAAACTGGATTTACTCATGGTGACATGAGTATTGTAGGAAACAGATGTAATTTACACAGCCTACCTCTTTTCCCAGTTTGTCCATGGTCCTCCAGAAGTTATTGTAATCCAGATAAACTATGGGATTCCATGTTGAAGGAAAAGTACCTGATAAATAGCGTGCCTTTCCCTAAAATACACATAAGAACGTAAGTAATTGAAACACAAAAAAGCGTATCTTCATTACTCAAGAACACAAAATTCTCAAAGACATAGACCTTCCATCCCAGAAGACCTAGCTTTCTTTTCTTTTTCCTTTCATCTTCTTTTTCTTCTGCATATGCATGTAAGGAATGCATGAAGCTAAGTATAAGGTGAAAAAAACCAAGTTGAGCCAAGATTAAAAAGGACAATAATTTTTATTTTTCTTTTATTCAGAAGAGATGGGAGGGGTACATTAATTCTGAACATGTTGTCAAATTCTGGGCTAAGGAGACTCAAGCAATGGTTAAGGAGGTAATATTACTTGTTCCTAAGCAGTCTTCATTATTACATATGAATGAATCTAATGTTTTCCTGCCTGCTGCAATGTGTATCCTAAGATTTGCATGGGTCTAAAACTGCACATATTTTAAACTTTTAAACTATTGAAGTACCCTTGTGGTACATCTCACTATAAAAAGCAAACATACCTCTTTATTATGCCAAGTACCTTAGGAGAAACCTAGTCTAACAAAAAAATATTGCCAAAAAGAATGTTTTTGGCTACAGGAAGAAAAATTTTGTACACTTGCAAAAATGGTATCAATATTTAAAATGTGTATGACACATATCTGCAACAGGAATAGAGACTGTTTCAGATAACCCTGTGATACAATGATAAGTAAAACAATCTAACAGCAGCTGGTTCTTTGTGATAACTTTAATCTGAAAGATCACTGGATGAGCAGGCAATACTTTCTCTTACTAAGTTGTTTTAAACCTTCCCCCACCTACATCAACAGTAAATTTCTTGTCAGATCTCTTTAATGTTTGCTCCTGCAGGTGTGTCAAAAGTTTGCAGGAGGTCACACGGCAAGATGGACCACGGCAGGTCGGAGCTGTGGTGCTAAGTGGTGCGCAATGCGCTTTTCAGTTTCACAGATGCCAAGCCAACCCATCACACCAGGCAGGTGGGAGTCATGGACCAAGTGAGAGGTTGTGGTGCTGCAAACGCGTGAGGTGGTGACCCAAGGACAAGGGGACACGAAGCAGGAGCCTAATGTGCCTTCCCCATACTTTGCAAGTGAGAATTTGTTAGTCTTCCCCACTGATAATTGTCTAAGTGCATGTAAATACATATAGATTTTTGCTATTCCTCAGAACATTTTTCTGTAAAGATCGTAACAAAGATAAAAGGTGCAAGATGGAACTCAGAGACTGAGACAGTGAGCTTTCAAACTTGGAAAAGCAGTAAAAAATCCAAACTTCCTCATTTTGGTCAACTTTTGTCATCCCCAGAGCAGGTATAGTGAAGGAGACAAGAGTACATGGGTAAGGACAGAAATCTTGTTATGGCCAAGACCGTTTGGTCCGTCTCTCCCCAGAGGACAGCTGCAGTGGTGCCCCAGCTCCGACACCTGGGCTGCACTTCCTCAGCATCTTCAGTGAGGGCAGCAGCAAACAAGCTCTCCTGTTCAGTCTGGACACAGTAACCTCTGCTCTGGGCCAAGCAAAGCACAAAGTTGTGATCTCAGCACCTGGTTCAGCTTGAGGTCCAAGGGCTTCAAGTTATTTGTTGAGTGGGATTTTGTTTTGTTGTTGTTCTTAAGTTTGGGGTTTTTTTTGTTTTAATTTCCAACAGACATTGAGTTTTCAAGTAATCAGGATGATTGTGGAGGTGGCTGGCTACCTCTGGATTTCTAGGTTTGTAATCTCAAATCTTGTGTACCACATACTTCTTTTCTCTTTTACCCCTATTTCATTCTGGTTTTGCAGAGTTACGGTGGAGGAAGATGGTTGGGGGATGATCATATAGTCATAGAACAGTTCAGGTTGGAAAAGACCCTTGGGATCATGGAGTCCAACCATTAACCCTACACTACAAGTTTACCTCTAAACCATATCACCCAACACCACATCTAAGCGACACTTAAACACATCCAGGGATGGCGACTCAACCATCTCCCTAGGCAGTCTATTCCAATGTCTGACCACTCTTTCTGTGAAGAATTTCTTCCTAATGTCCAGTCTAAACTTGCCCTGTTGCAATTTGAAACCATTCCCCCTGGTTCTGTCCCTAATTACCTGTGAGGAGAGACCAGCACCAACCTCTACAATGTCCTTTCAAGTAATTGTAGAGCATGATGAGATCCCCCCTCAGCCTCCTCTTCGTCAAACTGAACAGTCCCAGCTCCCTCAATCGCTCCTCATAAGATCTATTCTCCAGGCCCCTCACCAGCTTTGTTGCCCTCTTCTGCACTCACTCCAACACCTCGATATCTGTCTTAAACTGAGGTGCCCAAAACTGAGCACAATACTCAAGGTGCGGCCTCACCAGTGCTGAGATGCTCCAGCCTTCTTCAAGTGCATGTGTGTATGCAAAACACAGTTATGCCATGGCAAGAGCAGAGAAATTGCTCCTATGAAGCACCAGCTAGGGAATCCTCCACAAAACACTGCTTTTTCCTTTTTATTGAGCACAATTTCTCACTGCTAGTTTGGAGCACTGTGTGTTCAGCCACAAAAAAGAGGACCAAAAAATGTATGCAGAGGACTATACTCCATGCTACAGCTTTTACTGTCATAAAACAATGCTGTATCAAACAAGGAAATTCTGATATAAAGCAGTAATATACTGTTAATAATTTTCTTCTTATGGCACAATGTTTTTTGAAAAGATCATCAAATACTGTTCCTTCAGAGTTAATTTATTGCTGGACTTTTCACTCTGGTCAGGAATGCAGGTGACATTATTGTGTCTTTCTTGACATGCTTTAACACCTGCCCTTTAGAATCATAGCATCATAGAATCATGGAACAGTTTCAGTTGGAAGAAACCTTCAAGATCATCAAGTCCGACCTTTGTCCCAGCCCTATCAACACCACTCAACTATGACCCTCAGCACAACATCTACCCATCTCTTAAACACCTCCAAGGATGGTGACTCAACCACGTCCCTGGGCAGCCTGTTCCAATGCCTGACAACCCTTTCAGTAAAGAATTTCTTCCTAATATCTAACCTGAACCTCCCCTGGTGCAACTTAAGGCCATTTCCCCTTGTCCTATCACTTCCTACTAGGGAGAACAGACCAATCTCTGCCTCGCTACAGGCCTCCTTTCAGGTACTTGTAGAGAGTGATAAGGTCTCCCCTCAGTCTCCTCCAGGCTAAACAGCCCCAGATCCCTCAGCTGCTCCACATATGACCCATGCTCCAAACGCCTTGCTAGTTTGGCAGCCCACCTCTGTAACCTCTCCAGTACCTCAATGTTCCTCTTGTAGTGAGGGGCCCAAAACTGGACACAGTACTCAAGGTGAGGCCTCACCAAAGTTGAACACAGGGGAAACAGGGGAATGACCTCCTCCCTACTCCACCTGACAACACTATTCCTGATACAGGCCAGGATGTCATTGGCCTTCTTGGCTGTAGTTTTACTCAGGAAAGAGTCATCCACAACAATCACTCATCCCTGCTAGAGATGATGCCAGGCCATCCAACAACAGCTGAATATAAGTTACTGCAGCAGTTCTGTCATGTCAATACTGCAAGGGGACAAAGGAAAAAGACAAGCTTACTGTTCAGAAGATGCAGTGAAAACTCCAGTTTTTCACTGTTCATTGGTACCTCTTTTCAGTGGGCTTTCTGATTAGTGACTGTGCTTGCACTGAGTGGTGTAACTTGCAAACACCTCTCCTGCTCTTGGCTTACTTAACTCAGAATGACTTCTTTCAAAAGTAAAAAACCCCAAACTTCTAAGACTTCTCTCCTCCTCTTAGTTTTAGCCAAATCTATTCATTGTATTGCCAGAAACAGCAGCCCAAAAAACGTTTCTCTCAGAAACTCTATGATGAGGTTTATGCCAAACAGCTTTTCCAATCCCCAGCTTTAACTCCACTGTGTTCGACATCTGCAGTCTGAGAAAGAACCAAACTATCCTGATTTCTGCAGATGGGGCAATTGGTGATAGAATTTGTCCACAGCCTGGCTAACTTATATTTTCCTCCAACTTTTCCACTCCTATACTAGCTGTAGAACACCATCACCACAAACTCTTGAGGACTGATCAAGAAATCTTACAACCTTGGCAACTGGTATGACACATATCATGTTGGATATTCACTCACCTGGTATTCAACAAAAGAACTATCCTTTTATTACTGATCTGAAAATATTATTATCCCCACATGACTGGTCAATGGCATAGCCCAGAAAGATCAATGGGAAAACCTATTTTACCCCCTGAGAACTACGAAATGCCAACTGATTATTAACAGTCTAAAGCTGCACTACTTGTTGCCCTCTTCTGCATGCTAAAACCCCACAACTCCAGTGAGACTGGAGACCAAGGGCAGAAAAAGATGGAAAAATACAACAGTGTAACAGACCTGGAAGAGGCTGAGGCTGAGTTCAGACACACTAACTCCTTGTGCAGGAGGGCTGGACCTCTAAGCAGTGGGAGCTGATCAGAGGAAAGCCCAATGTCACAAATTCCAGGAGAAAAATTCCCATTGCCTGTCAGAGAGCATGAGGCAAACAGCCTTAGCCACGTCAGTTTTTCAACTCTCTCTCCTGTGCAAGTATCCCCACAGCAGGGACTAAATCTAGCCCAAATGACTTGGGGCTGATAAGTTATTCATTCGGTTTTAATATTGTCTCCCTACAAGGCAAAGGAGCTCTGGCTGCATGTTTCACAGAGTTGCTCACTGCAAGTAGGCAAGGTCTTGCAATATTTCATTTTTAAACAAGTTTATAGTGTTCTGGGTGTATTATTTTAAGAACTACTGTTTTCTTAACTGAAAGGCAAATAACCTACTGGCTTTGTTCCCATGCTAACACAAGGCTGCTTGACTGACCCACAGAGTTTATCTAACTTTTTTTTCATTTCCTGGTGTGTCAAAAGCTTTCCTGCAGACCTCAGATTTGAATCCTGCTGCCTGCCTGGATCAGTTACCTCTCACCAAACCAAAGGAAACAATATCCTCAAGC